CTGTTGGGTGATGGTGTTTCCAGGATTCACCACCAGCTCCCAACTCACTGACCTCCTCCAGGTGGAAGGTTGAAGGGAACCTGAATCTTTTAAGCTGGAGGATCAGAAAAAAGGAGGAGAAAGACATAGATATGTATAATAAAGGCTACATGTCTCGTCCGCACTGTCAGCCAATGGAATCGCACGGCCACACTGGCGGCCATCTTGATTCGGTGCTCTCGTTCACCCATAACACTGTGTTGTAGTGGTGCATGTACTTTTTAAACAACCATGACTTGTTCAATTTTCTACCGATTTTCAAACGGTTTGGTTTGTTATAAACGTCAGAGGTGGAGTTAAAACACTGCACTTATGGATAATCATGTTACACTCTCACAGCCAGCAGCATTTAGTATTTTAATTATTTTGTATTTTATTTGTATTTCTGTAATTTGAATTGTGGCCACGTTAATAACGTTTGTAGAAACCGAACCGTTTGTAAATCCGTCAAGATTTCAGCGAGATCAGAGTATTTACGTTTGTGCAGATCATTTACCTTACATTACAGCTTCCACCAGAGAGCTGCCCCGAATCAAGATGGCCGCCGGTGATCCTGTTGAAACGCCGCCTTAAGAAACCTAGCCTTTATTATATACATCTATGGAGAAAGAGAGGAGAGGGTTACATATCACAATGACAGAGGATATGAAATAAAAGAACCTGCTGGTGGTTTAAGTCTCTCTGTGAAGATGTGATGTTACTCACTTTGGCAGAGTCAAAAACGACAGCTGCTCTGCTGATTCTCCAGCTCCACACGGACACCGAAGGTCCAGCTGGCCCTCCTGCAGCAGGAAGCAGCATGAAGAAATGTGTTTTAGCTGAAATCAGTCACACATTATATCAGATTCACGTAGACATACACATTCATGCACACATGTTGTTGGAGTGTGAGAATAAAGTATAAAGCAGCACTTACTTTCAGACACTCAGGTCCTGGGGCCAGAGAGAGGTTCAGATACTGCTCCTCTCTAATGGACTGGCAACCACATCCGCAGAAGAAAGAGAAAGTTCAGATGAAAATAAAGTTACAGACTTCCCGACAGAAACTATGACTGTGAAACGCTAAAAATAACAAAAAAGATTTAAGTTGGCATGTACAGAGCCAACAATGTCAAATCTTTAACTCTCTGATCTCCAACTTCAGTGACAGAGAAGAAGAAAAAAAAAAGTTTAGTGTGTTTGTACCTCTTACAGGTCTTGCTGTTCAACGTTTCAAAGTAAACATGTGCACCGACAGGGCAGGTGTATGTGACGCCCATGACAGCTGCTGCCATCCGCTGGTCTAAGGGCAGAGATGTGACCATGTTCAGCACACAACTGAGGAGTTCATGGGCATCCTGCACAGAAACATCCATCCATCCATCTATTATCTACACAGCGCCTAATCCTCACTGGGGTCGCGGGGGGCTGGAGTCTATCCCAGCTGCACAGAGACTTACATTAAAAATGTTTCAGAAGGTGAGCATTTGACAAAAACTATAAAACTAGTTCAGCAAGGTAAGTGTGGTACTATGCTGCATCCTGTATATAAAACATGTACCAACCTTTTGACTGCCGTCCCAGAACTCTGAGCTAAACTCAGCAACAGTATCTTTACAGACAGTCAGTATGAGCCTTGTTGTTGGAGAAGCGACTGACTCCAACGTCACCTAACTCTCTGTAAAGAACAAACAAAAAGAGGAGAGAATGCTGTTTAGATGCTGTCACTTCAGGTTGAGCTGCAAAGTAGTGAAGAAACCAAAGAGTGACAGGAACTGTGTTAGTGTGTGCATTACACCTGATCACCTGGGATCCCAAGTGAGGAAACCACACCTGCTGCTGCTTGTAGACCTCCTGAATGAAACCACTCAGGAGGCTTTGCAGGGTGGAATTTATACTGCACGTCTGCGTCAGGTTGGATGACCTTGAATCAAATCACAAAGGGGACAACAGTCAGTAGAGGGCTCATTTTCTTTCCTTTATACATGTGTAGCCTTACTTCATACATGAAGATTCATAGACTTCATGTGACATATACAGTTTTCAAATACTTGGATGTATGAGTATTGAGTGTGTCTATGACTGTCTTCACATACCCCAGGCAGACGAGCTCCTCACTGCAGAGAGGTTTGGAGTTGGTGGGATTTAACTGTCCGCTTTGACCTGCAGGCTCCCACCATGCACTGCTGAAATCGACCGGCCGGAAACTGGCGCATCGCTTTCTGCAGTGACGTCAGCTTTGACTCCACATAACTGCTGTTGTCAATGTTGCAGACAAGGCTGCTGATTTCTAATATATTGGATTTGCCATCGATCAACTCGACCACCAAGCTGACTTTGGCAACCTCAGAGGGCTTTTGTTGACTCCGTCGGTATCAGCAGGAGACTCCACCTGTTACTATTAGGAACAGACAGAATAACACAGTTTAAATACAGCAAAAATAAAGCACATATAAGTGTTTCTGAATTCAGACTCCACATGTTACTTTAACAGTTAATACTTGCAAATTCAACCACTGACGCCACCAAGGTGCCTTCCTCTGCTTCTTCTCCTTGGTCTTTGGGGCGTCTGGGGTTTGTGAAGCCTCCTGGTCCTCACTGGTGTTGACACTGGTGATAAAGGGAAACTGATTTTAGTTGACTTCATGCTTCTGCTATAATGACTGGACCATTAACATAAAGAATATATGTTCATGGTCAGTCTGTGTCAGATCAGTCAGAATTCAGGAAATATTTTACTGAAACATGTCACATTTTGTTCAGAACTGACTTAATCATTATTTGGGACCCAAAACTAACTTATGTAACATATTCTGGAGATATTAAAATGGCTTCACAGCCCTAGTACACTAGCAAAGAATTCGAGCTAGCGAGCTAGCACGGCAACAAGCTAATAAAGCACAACATTATTAGCTTAACCTAGAGTCTGCTAGTTAGCCTCCTAGATAATTAATAATACATTTTGTAGTGCTGGTTAGCTGTTATGTTACTGTTTTAGACTATGTTGGCCATCATTTCAGAAAGTCAACGTTAGCAAAACTACAGTTTGAAATTCATTGATGTCCACTGCACATTCTCTCTCCAAGTCCTACTCTTGAATTTTCGCATATTACTAAATAAGTTTCTGCTAGATTTTTTTCAGTATAACAGAGAACCTTACACGAGACTCTCTTTTGTCTGTCTCCTCATACAATTTCATGTCCCTGCGAGTTATATTTCTGGAGATATTAAACTTTAACAATGGCTCAACCTCCTAAAACGCCAGCAAAGAATTAGAGCTAGCACGGCAAAAAGCTAATGTAGCATAACGTTATTAGCTTAACCTAAATGAGAGAGATAGTCTTTTAGACAGATAATACGACATTTTCTATCAGCAAAACACAGAAAATACCAGGAAATCGTTCAAAAACGGATAAAGATACAATTTAGTAAAATGAGAGAGTAAAATGTGAACCTTTTGGCATTTTCCAAAACAGCTGAACATCTTGGTAGTTGCTAAAGCAAGAACTCCTTGAAATGAACTGAAATGTTCTTTCCACCTCTCATTGAATTTAAATTGTTGATTGTGATGTCCATCATCAGAAACCATAGAATCCATCAGACAGACATGTTATTGCTGCTTTCAGGATGCGTCTCCAGCCAACTACTGTGTTTGACTTGATGTTTCACAAGCAGTTCTTTGATACCATCAAAATAAATACTCAAGCTGTACGAAGAATTAATACATATTTGATTTTATGTCAGTATTTTAAATTAACTTTAACTAATGGAGTTTAAAGCTCCAGGGGGCTAAACTTTAACACTTTCTTAGTGTGTCCTGGAAATGAATGTGTAAAATACCACAGAGATATGATGGTTGGTGTCTGAGGTGATCACATTTTTATTGTGAATTTATAAATGGAGAAACTTGAGCAACCACAGATGTAATATCACAACATCATACAGACATATTGTAAAATCTGCAGTGTGAAAAACTTGAATGAACTTAACCCTGTTCAGGACTTTCATGTTGCCATACGTAGAAGGTCTTTCTGGGTCCGTTGGACCCCAACAAAGAATCTGTGAAAAATATATGTTGGTGTTCGTTATAGATTTTAGACTATGTTAAATACATTTTCTGATAAGTTGACGTATTTTTGGTTCCAAATGCACAAAAAATGTCTCTCTTTTTATATTTAAAAAAAAAAACAAAACAATACCTGTCACGTAAACCAAATGGTCTGGGATCCAAAAGACCCCAAAAGTCCTGAATAGGGTTAGATGGTCGACTCACCTCTTCAGATACTTCACATCTGTTTACAGCTGGATGAACGCTTCTACTGGTTTATTTCATGGGAACAGCAAAGAGCTCAGCCAGTGACACACAACATGTAGCTACGAGTACTTGTACTGTAATTTTTAGTGATTTTTTTTCAATTTGTATAGCACAGATCACAACATATGTCATCTCACATCTAACAGTAAGGCGAAAACCTTACGAATTTAAACAGAGAACCCAACAATACAAAGCTGCCTTTGGACTTCCTCTGAGCAAGCGGTCGGCAACAGTGGGAAGGAACCAAAACCCTCCTCCTCCCTAAAGAGAGGAAAAAAAAAACATCCGACAGAACCAGGTTCAGGAAACCGGTTGGGTCAGGGTGGGGATGAGGGGTGTCGGGACAGCAGGACAGCAGGTTGTAGCACATTTAATAGAAACAAATGCATACACACATCATTCACAGCCACCTTGTCTCTTCTCTTCTAATCTCGGTCCTTAACTTGTGTATTACCTGAAAGTTCTGTCTCTCCTTGACTGGCTGTCAGAATGAAAGTCACACTCAGTGGTCCTACAGTGACCTTGTGAAGCTATTAGTAGACAAATGGTGGAGTTGGGTAATGTATCTGTACAGTATTCTCCTAATTCACAAATAAACCCACAATAAACACCCGTTCATGTGCTTCAGTACATTTGCTGGTGGTATAATATGTTTTGTTTGTGCCGTGGCAGTGAAATACTGATTTTTAGTATTGATTTAATGATTTTTTAGGCCCGTAGTGCATCTAAAACGCCTTCTAATTTTATTTATTCAGGTTCCCGTCTTTGCCTTTTACCACTTCTAGGTTTTTCACTTTCTTTGTGTCTGTGACCTGTGCTCGTAATTTCCTTCTAAGTGCATTTTCATTTCTTTTAATGTACTCATTGAATGACAATAAAGTCAATCTATCTAATCTAATCTATCTAATAAACTCTCTGCATGACAAACGCAGCAACACGAAGCGGTTCGTAAAAAGCACAGCAAGTCTTAAGTTTGTTATTTATTTTAATGAGTCTTATTTCTGCAAATTCAAAACTTGACATGGTCCTTTTAAACATCCAAAATAACTTACTTAAACATTCAGCATTGTGGAAAAAACAAAGACAACGGGCAGCTGTAAAAACTACTCATGAACAACTACGAAGAAAAGGCTAGTTTCCCTTAAACACCAAAAATGGCAAGCACGTATTATATCGAGGCACGCCCATTATTATTTCAAAGGGTTTTCCTGGTGTACACAAAGCACATTCAGTAACTTACAAATAAAACTCTGAACATAATGTAAATCTTTACCGCGGGTAAAGTCATTAAGTCTTGACATTCGCAGGGTCAGACGGATGCATGTTTGCTCGTACTACAGATTAACCAGAGTTATGGAAAGGAACAAAGACAATACTTAATCAGGTTTTTCACAGTGAATCTGCTATTTTGTGTCCAACTAAAAAAAAAAACTTGACTGGAACTATTATTATCATAAGGGGCATGCCTTATAGAAACAATAGGTAATCATTTAAAGTTGGTTTACATTTCCATTTTCAAGGTATTTTTTTGTCTAATTGTACAAAGCAAAGAGAGGAAAGTAGAATTTCAATGTGTGAATACGTTTCACCTGAGATGAGGCTCTGCAGGAGGATGAGGAAGAAGCATTCCACATTAATATGTGATTTATTTACCATATATTTCATATATAAAAAGCCAATTGTAAATGACTAAAGTCCCTTTGTTTTTCCGTTACAGATTCAGTGTGAGAGCACCTCAGAGGTACATGTATCGATGTGGAGATCAGACAAGTTAAAACATTAAAAAGCAGAGTTCCAACACGTTTCCTGTTTTTTTTTTTTCCCCTCCCCTAATTCACAATACAACATAATCCATGGTTGTGCCCGTTTTAGGTATTCTACTTGTATGGCTGCAGGTCAAAAAGCTGAGTTCATGAAAGCTTCATGTTAGAGCTTTTAAATCTCCATGGAGTCCAGGAACTCTTCTTCAGTGATGTGCTCCAGCCTCCTCAGGACCGTGTGTGAACTGGCTGCAGGGTAATCCGCTACAGGGAAGTGGGGCATCGGTTGGCTGTAAGGAGGAGGGCTCTGGAAGGAACAGCAGAGGGTGCATAGGAAAGGCAACAGCTGGGTGATGGAGGACAGGGAGCGCTGAGTGAGGAGGGGGGACTCCAGACGCTCCGTGGTGGATTCCTCACTCAGTCCATTCAGGGTCTGAAATAACAGGACGAGACGTCATAATCAGAGAGAGACACGGTAATTTAAAAACAAAAGAGCAACAACAATAGAGCTGTGGAATAGTGGTTGGTTGTGGTGGTGCTTTTAGATGGTATTTTAAGAGCTAAATCCTGATTAATTCAGCAACATTCAAAAATAAATCATTATTTATTTAAAATCTAATGGGTTTCAATGTGTGGTTTTTGTGTTGTATCCTGCTACACTCAGTTTTTATTCAGTTTAAAGGAATCTTACTGGAATCCTTCTATTGCTGGTACTGGTGTTGTGTATTAGCATTTGCTATTAAGCTATGATACTTGCACTGGCTAACGTTTTTAATTTATCAGTGTAAAGTGTGTTTGTCTCTGTCAAATGTACCATAAATAAATAAAAGCTTAACACAGAATCACAGAACTCTCCTGGATAATGTTACGGCCACCAAATTTCATTATTTGTTTCTGATAAAACACATTTCAGCTGAGTAACCCATGGCTTCTCAGTTGCACAGAAGAGTGCAGAATTTTATATTTGTTACAAAATCTGGGTAATGAGAACTTTTTTTTTTTGGCACATTTTTTAAATGAGGCTCGTCGAATTAAGTGATTTTGATGAAATATGATTTTAGACTTAGTTAAGTGTTACAATGGGATGGTGCGTCACACTCAATTAGTTCAAGGACTGTAGGAAAGTTGAACATCCAACAGTTATTCCTGTTATTACAGTTTCTGGTTCTAATAAATGGTGAAATTTTGTCAATTTAGCCGGCATGTTTTGGGTTCAGAGCGTTAATAAGTGAGACCGAGGCCCTTACTGTTAGGAGATAGGATGCATTTCTGAGAGAAGATTAAAAAATAACAGGCAAAGTGGAGATGTAAAATGCCACAGCACTTTGCACTATGAAGCAGCTTTGACACACAAAGCATTAACAAGGTTACCAGACCACATGCTAAATAACAGTAACAGTGAGCCTCTCACCCAAATTACTTTTCAGGACACTTAAAATTGGGAATAATAATCTATAAGTCTGACATGTGATGCGTTAAGCCTGTTATCTCACCCCAAAGCGTTGCTGTATCCCTTCCACTACTCTGACTACGTGTGGTATGCATTCCTGTTCGCCTTCGATCAGTGCAGTTTCTGGACCACTGTAGCGGCTCACATCCACCTCAGGGACAAATGCCCAGCGATACCTGCAAGACAAACGCAAAACAGGAAGGACAGAAAGTTTCAGGCAGATGAAAACACATATAACTACTTAATCAAATGACAAATGTAAGTTCTACAATTCTACAATTTCATTTAGCAGATGTTTTTATCCAAAGCGACGTACATCTGAGAGTAAATACAACACAAGCAAGGATCTAGTCAGGAGAAAACAATCTGGATAAGTGCCGTTAAGTAAGTATGTCTATAAGTCCCTTTGCCCTTTAATGGGCTCTTACATCTGAAAGAGTGGTATCTTGTCAGGGGGGAAAGCCAGTGAGGTGTCCAGAAACTTGCAGGCTGACAGGTACATGTCCAACTCCGCCTGGGAGAAATTCACTGGTCCGTTTTTGTCAAGGGCTCCACGCACCACTTTAGCCAGTCTTAGTGGTACAAAGAAATACAAGACAAAGCACCGAGTATGAGGGTGAGAGATTCAACATTATGTTAATGAAACAGGAATTCATTAATGAAAGAATGAACTCACTTTGACACGTCTTTATCTGCCTGCAGAGCTTTCTCTAGACGTGCAAAAGTGCGAATCTGGAAAGCAAGTCGAGAAAAGTTCACTTCAGACACACATTATTAAGTGTATTAAACCTGGTTCTTAGAGGATGGGATCTTACCAGTTCTGTGACCATTATGGGCCAAAGAGACGTCAGGTGCTGGGATGAAATTCGCAACAAGAGAACACGAAACATCAGGAACATCTGGGCTGAAACAGCAGGGCTGGGGTTCATACGCAAAGTCTCTGTGAGACGCTCTAAAAAGAAGAGAAAATGAACAGTAATTTAAAAATGTCGTTTTTAAACTAGATTGAACACAATCAAATAACAATCTACAATCTAATAGTAATAGTACCAAACCTTGAATTAGGGGCAGATAGAGGTGGTACTGGTCGAGTTCTCCGCTGAACATGGCAAACGCCTGGCGTTTCAGCAGCATGGGTTTCTGGTCGACATTAGCGAACAGTTTCAGGGAGCTACTCTGCATGCCTGGAGCACAGATACATGTACATAAACATCAAGATGTAACAGCAAGTAATCAAACACATGCCTATAATCTGAATTTCCCTTCAAGAAGTGTCATTGTGACTGCTCTGATTTGAAAATAGTTTCTATCTACTTTTTTGCCTGAGCTGTAGGTTACTTCAAACTCTTAAGAAGGATGAGCTTTCTTCTTTTTGGTATGAAATGAATGCATTTACAAACTTCTTGAGTTCTCCTCCCTTCCCTTCACTGACAAAAAGCATTCAACTTTCTTCAAAGAAAGAAAGAAAAAAACCTTCTCTATCACAGAATACTGAATTGCTTTCAAGTTTAGATTGCAAAAGTGTCTTTATAGAATCAGACATTTCCTAGAGGCTGTACTCACTCATAAGGTCTTTAAACATGGTCTTCTCATGAGTCAGCAGGTGGTCAACAATGGATTTCCAACTAAAGAGAACAGAGGCAGCAGTCAAGCAGCAGACATTGATCTTGTTGATCCCAAAGTCATGTCCGCAAAACAATTTAAAACAGCCAAGAGACCATTTAATTTGGATTTAGGTTGCCATGTTGCTTTCTTTAAAACCTGATATGTGGGATTAACTAGAATTCACTTTACCACAGCAGAACATTACCAGAAAAAACTTGATCTGGGACAAGTACAGGTTTGGATCACTGTTTATACTTTCAATCAGGTCTGGGTCCTGTCCATTTCTATTACTATGGGTTCTGGGTGTGATCAATATTATGTGTAATATCCAAAGGGATCTGAGAAGATCTATCTATGATCAAACAGCATGGATCATTATGGAAGTGCAGCGTGTGTGTGTGTGTGTGTGTTTGTTTGGATATTAGCTAACATTAAGAAACGTAGCAAAGAGTGAGCATGGTTTTTATAGTTTTAAAGAACAATCGATCAAAGTTATCTTTCTTATGCTACAAGCAACGAAACTGCCGCCGATTCTAAACGAAACGTGTTTGCTGTGCGTCGCCATGACAGCAAGCAGACTTTTAGGATAAAATATGGAGTGGGCTAGTGGAACAGCTGAATGCATTTTACCAACTGTTTTGTCAAAGCGGATGGATTACATGCGTCATAAACAGGCTTTGTATTAGTAAAGACGAAAAGTTTTGTTCCGACAACTTGTAAATTATCGTTAACACCTTAATAGTCAATCAGCTGTGAAATTGGTGATGATTTGGTTTGTGCCTTCCTAAAGGGACTGGGTGAGGCACGTCTTTGATGTGCATGAGTCCTGGTTGCAGCTTTTGTTCTGAGTAGTAAATTTCTGTTTCCTTTTTGGCTTTGGGAACAGATTCTTGGACCCATGACGGGTTCTGTTAAGCCCTTCTAATCAGATCTTTCTCCTTTTAGTTTCCAAAACCTGTTGGAAGTATTTGTGTAACTGTATGCGTTGGAATGTGGTTTGCACACATGGCTGATTTGACATGGATTGAATCAGATTTGTCACCACCAATCTGTTGCAACAAACTGACTTATCAAGTAGTAAGCCCCAAGTACAGGATGTTAAGGCTTTATGCATGTAATCCTCCACTTTTCACTGCCATAAACAACATCTATTAATTAGATCATGCTACCGGGGCAGTTAAAGATTTGCTGTATGTGTGCATGTATGTGTTGTTTGGTATTCCTGAAGTTCCCAAGACAAACGGTGAGCAACTGTATGTATAAAAGTTCCCACCTATCGCACCAACATACAAACCTGTGTGCACAGGAGGCATCCATGGTGAAGAAGAGGGGGTCCATGAAAAGCTCAAAGACCTCTTTCCTCCAGGCCCTTTTGGTATAGGCATACCCACTCAGACTGCTCAGCAGCTGAGCACCCGCTTCAAAGCTGGGCATGTTGTAGGCACTACAGGAGGGAAAGACCAAGTTAGAGAGAATCTATTAACCTCGAAAAGATCAAAGCTGTTACCATCAAGATAACTCTGCAACAGTAATTACCTGTGGTTCTTCAGGTAGGGGAAAACATAGTACATGAGTCGGGAGATGAGAGGAACGGCTTTCTCCTTCTCGTCACTGCGGTATACCATGTCCAGAAGTGGTGCCAAGATCTACACAGTGACAAAGAGTGTAAATAGAATCTCTTGCAATCATCCACAAAAAATACCCACACCTAATTTGCACAAAAACACAAAATTACCTCAGCCAGAAGTACAAGAGCCTGCACGCTGTAAACAGAGGGAGCTGAGGAGGAGACCATGGCGCTGGCTTGAGCCACTGACTCTGACAAGGAGAGGAAGACCAGAAATGGGATTCATGTTACCAAGCTTTTAATAACTCAGATATATTCTATATTCTAGATGTACTCAAAGGTACACTGGAGTTGTGGGGACTGTTTCAGTGCTTAACACGGTAGTTCAGATGGAGCAGCACATGCAATAGGTGACAATCAGGATAGAAGTGTTACATCATAAAATGAAGTCGTCACTCAGTGTAATGCTGAAGCGACGTAAACTTTCAAAATGAAGGAGACAAGTAGCCCCAAACAACGACAGAAAATGTTGCCAACATTATAGCAGAGCTGTCAAAACCCCAAACTCACTTTTAAAGTTGAATAGTTTTGTTATCATCCTGCTTTCTTGATCCAAAATCAAGCTCAAAATTTCTGTCACAGCACATCATGAGATATTAGTTGTACAGTTTTATCAACCTAGTTATTAAGTTCTTTTTTTCCCTTTACTTTATACTATCGACTACCATTTTAAGTGTATGGCATGGAGATAAATTTGCAACACATATTTTAAACATTATGGCTCAAAATCTTTAAATGTCCTCTTATCAAAAGTGCTTCTTGTTGGTACCTGGTTCCATTGGGCCTTTACTCTCACATTTAAAAAGAAATGTAAAAGTCATGTCCATTCATAATACTAAGCTTAGTTAAAGCAAAGAGCACTTTCTAAAGCAATAGGAGTCATTTTTAAGCTCTTTTTTGTTCATGTAAACAGAGTGCATGTAACTATTGATCAGAGTTATGTGAATTTACCACAATGCTCTCCGTCCATGTCTGCATCATCTGCTTCATCTGCTTCTGGGCAAACCTGTGGCTGATTTTTGACCTCAAGGCTGCGGCTGAGCCAACTGGTCTGCTCCAGAGATGAGCCTGCGATGCCACCTACTGCCTCGAGGATCCGCTGAGTCACCTCCTGCACGATAATATAATCATTCATATCAGCACGGCATCTTAGCTGCACTCGCTCATTATCTCAATCAACAAATTATTGATTTGACATCTAAAAATAGCAGCACGGCATTGCATCTCACCTGCAGATCTCTAGTGTCCTTCTTGCTGTCCAGGTTGGGAAGCCTATTGACAAAGTCATTCAGGATTCTGCAAGACAGAATATGTTATTGAAACTCAAACTTCGCTGCCAAAAATTCACAAATAAATACAAAGAATATGTTTATATGTTTATAAATAGAGAAATAAATGTAGTGTGATGCAGTGTGACCATTATGGTTGTTTTTCTGATCTGCCTACAGTATAATAGTAAGATCTAACTGACAATAAAAGAGACATTTTTTTAAAGTGAAATTAATTAAGGTACATTACTGCTGATCAGAGTAAAGGCGAGAACTGACCCCAGCAATAAGAAGTGTCCAGGTGGGGCCAGGTTGAGCTGAACAGACTCCCGTAACAAAGTGAGTAGAGGAGCAACATTTTCCTGCAGAACCTGAGCTGAAATACTACACAATACAACACACAAACCCAGAGATTGGTATGAAAGTGAGTATTACAGAAGGATCTTGGCAAATTTGAGATTGGTATTTGCATTCCATTTTTACCTCTGGATATAGGCATAGCTGAACTGCAACATGGGGACATCGACCAGTGTCGACTTCTGATGGAGACAAAAGTAAACCATTTGACTTAAAACATTTCCAGAATACAAGTCTTGAGCATTTCTATATGCATGTGTATTTATGTACCTGTTCTCCTTTGATCTGATATGGTTTTTTCACCACCTCTTTGACCAAGTGCAGGATGGTATCAGTGTGCAAGGTGTGCAGCGATTTCACCAGCTCCACAATGGTGAGACGAGACTCACTGGCCACAGGCAAAACCTACAGAAGACCAGAGGGCAAAAATGTAGTTACAGGTGCCCTAAAGCCAATCAGGGAAATTAATATAACAAGATTTTCTTGTTTTTAAACACACTGCAGCTCTTACTTTGTTTTTATGCCTTCTTTTACTCTTCCTGTTGCTCCAAACTGCTCCCAGAGAAGCCATCAGCTGAACGCCATACTGTGCAGTTAGAGGGAGCAGGAACTCCAGTATCCGCTGCCGCAAGACCTAAACGCGCACGAATCGTGAATGCTTGACATTTTTCATAAAAAGACATGTGCCTTGCTTGAATTATGAAAATATGAGTGTATGATAGGATTGACAATAGCCCCATCATGACACAGATATGTGTTGAAAAAGAAAAATACTGATAATATGCATGCACTCTGCAGAATTCTCACACACCCTGGAGCCTTTGAAATAGACAGAGGTAGAAGTGTGTCTGCTGCTCTGTGCAGAGTCCGATGCACGCCTCTGATACTCTTCCTTCATGACCACGCCCCATAACAACGCCATACTGCTGAGCATGTGCGGCAGTGCCTCGATCACAGCGTTGCGTGCATTACGAATGTCCACAAGATCGCAGGCAACGAGGGACTGACGAGAAGAAAGAGGGAAGAGATTTAGCATTACACTATTACGGTGGAGGTAAATGTGTTTATGTGTGTTCCATTTTTTTTACCCTTTTGTTGTCCAGTAGACAATAATGTGTGATGGTGGTCAGGCCTTCTAGCAGAGTCAGAGGGTAGTCAGGGGCAATATTCTCCCTCCTTCCACTCAGGCTGATGAAAAGTCAGAAAAAAAACATTTATATTTTATGAATATCAGCATTGTATCTGCAGGAATCTCCTGTATCAACATTTAAAAGAAGAGTTTTGTGTTATTAAATTAAATGAAGATGTCCAACACATAAATGAAAGCCTCACAAGAATCTAAGTAAAATAATTAGACAGTGTAGCGGCATAAAATGTGAATGTGATAATGTTAACTGTATAAGTGAAGTTCTGTGTATTCAGGCTACCTCTGGTTTGTCTTTCCTCCGTCATGCTCGTACAACTTCACCAACTCATCCAAGTTCCTGCAGATCTGGCTGATGAGCGGAGCCACAATGATGCCTAATGAGCGTCCCAAGTACGGCAGAGAGGAGCACAGCAGTGACACCCAGTGGGGGTGCATGGCATAGCCGTACTGAGGCTGCAGAGCCCTGGCTGCTGCAGAAACAAACATTCCTTGAGCTGTGATGGGATGGCTTTGGACGTACTGGGCCGCCTTGATGGACTGCTGGAAAAGGACCGCAGTTTGCCACTCACGAGCAAGAGGCGTGCTGGCAGTTGAGGATTCACGAGGCTCCCCAGACTGGCCAGATGCGCCCCCCGACCCAGCCGCTGGGGCAGCCCCACCTGGCCACACGTGGTATTCAAGGACTATGAGAGCCTGGAGAAGTTTCAGTAACTCCATTTGTAAGGTGTATTGCTCCTGTCCTCCTCCTGTTCCAAGATTCACCAGACTCTCCTCTGACAGGCCTCCCTGCTCCTCTAGTAGATCCACACCTTTGGACGATCCCTTCTCCGTTCCCTTCTGGCTGATATACATAGATGCAGAAAGTGTAAGCAGGGCATACTGCTGCACTTTACAACCTGAGAGAAGTCTGCGGATGGGCTCCAGGTTGGCCTTGCTGCCTTCTTGTGCTCGTGCTGTGCAGACAAGTTGGTTCACCATCCGAGTCAGCACCTCAACACTCTTCACCTGAACCTCTCTGTTCCCCTGCAGGTCGACAGGACTCAAGCTCAGATAGGACGGGTATTGAGAGCGCAGAAATTGCAGACACAGGGACACCAGCAGTTCAATCAGCAGGGACGGGGGCACAGAAGGGGAGGAGGAAGGGGAAAGCAAGCAGCCATAAAAGCCCTTGCCATCCTGGGCCTGTTGGTGACGCTGCAGAAGGTTGGAAACCAGGTTTAAATGTGCAGCAGAGCTTGTGTCCAGTGAGGTGGAGGAGAGGGCATCCACCAGAGGGCACTCAGCACTGCTCCTCAGCAGACTGTCTAGCAGTGCTAACCCTTGGAGTAGATGGTGCCAGCCGCCGGCCACAGGATACAGCAGGACATGGCGAAACAGGGAATCGATGGCTTCTCTTTTTTCACGTTCCTGCTTTAACAGACGAGACCTGGCTATAGCCTCCAGCTCTAAATCCTCCTCATCTTCACTCGACAGTGAATCAGATGCCTGTGTGTGCTCAGACTCTGCCCTCCGCAGGCCGTTGACCAAACCTCCGTCTTCAATGCTGCGGTACGGAGCAGAGCCTGAACTGGAGTTTTCTGTGGACACTTGAGCACCACTGGTGTCAGCTGACTCTGTGTGCTCACTCTCAGGCTCCTCGTCCTCCTCCTGTCTAGCTTCCTCTTCTTCTGTCTCTTCACTCTCGCTCCTTGATATTGCTAAAGCGTCAATTGGCTTTGGCAGCTCTGGGCCGCTATCTAACTCTGCCCACAGGGATTCCCGGTCCACAATGTTCAGGACATTTAAAGTGGTGACCTCTCGTGCCATGGTGTCTGTAGATGAGCCAACGGTTTTGGAGGAGCTTCGACTTCTGTTGTTTAGAACTTTCAGGTTACCTTAAAAACAGCGATTACATTAGCTTCACGAAACACAGACCAAACATTGAATTTTTAATAAAGTCAGATTGAATTCACTCAAGCAGCATCCACTGATAAACACACTTACCAGCAGTAATATTTTGTTTGATGCTCTGAATGGAACAGCGCTGAGTGGACGGGTGAAGCAGCAACAACAGAATGGGTTCCAGGATCCGAATCACGTCATTAAGCGACAGAGCCCTGACCAGCCAGCACTGAGCTGTTGCACTTATTGAGCCATCAGTACAGCTCAGACTGTCCACCACAACGCACAGAGACCTGAGAGAGACACATTTCAAAAGTCAATTTTTTTTGCAATCGTAAGCTTTCTTCTTCTGTACTTCTCTGAATTTGTTTTCATCTTTATTTTCACTGCATGTTGTAAATGATGAACAGGACAGGGTGGCGAAGGAGCAGCAACTTTTACCTGGAAGATGCTAACAGAGGAAGCTACACTTACCTCTATTTAAAATGTTTGTCCTATGTAGAGTGAGCTTTTAAGACATCTTAGAATCAGCCGGTTTGACCCATCTCAAAAAACTTGGCTTATTTTTATTAGTTTATGTTTCACGTGTTCTTTTCCAACCTGAGCAGTAACATCTTAAGCTTATTTGTGAGGGCACTTCAACACCAATCCTATTCTGATGACAGGCTATTTTAATCATTCCTATCATTAAAGCTAAGTGTCCACATAGTTTTTTTTTGAGTGCCAGTGTTTTTTTCAGTTGAATTCAGCCAACCAGAGAAGAATTGCTGCACCCAGCGTCTTTTTTCAGAGCATTAAGCCTCTTTTGTGCCGTCAGTCTGAGTGCCTCTACTTAAACATCTCTGACCTTTTCAGAAAGAACCTTTATATAGAACATTTAGTGGCATTTATGTAGTGGATTTACAGAGCAACATTTAGCATGCTGTCATGTTAACGCACTTAAAATTGCCATTGATCTTCACAGTAACATAAGTCTGATGCAGCTTGTTTTAAAAGGCATCCTGTCACCAACTCTAGTGTTGGACAGGTTGAACAGTGCCATATAACCAAATGAAGGATTCCAGACTGTAAAACTTATCTATCATCATTTAGAGATACAAAAAGGTAGGCTATTTATAATATCTTGTTCTCAAATTCAGACTTGTTAGCTGCGGCATACTTGTTTTCTGTAGGAATCAACAAAAGTCCTACTGTTTCACTTGAAATTTCACAGGAACAGTTACGTAAAGTTTAACTTTTCTCAGCCTTGTTGTGCTAGTTCCCACAGCTCTGTTACTAATGACACTATCGCTTCAAGGGATGGCAGGTTAATCAGGTTTTAGAGAAGCAGTGACGCTTATTTTGAGCAACTAAACTACACAAGATACATACTGAGACAGAGTGTACAATATTTAAAATCACAAAAAGGCTATGAATAGCAACTCTGACCACCATTCGTCTTGACTGCATACCACAACCATGTACTGACCGGTCAAAGGAACGACTGAGGGACATGGTCCTGCTGGTCTGAATCTCCCGGGTCAGGTGCCACAGCACTGTGAAGCGGTGTAGCGCCTCCAGCCTAACTGCCTGTGGGAGACAAACACACAAACCTTTGGTTTATTTGCTCGACTTGTCACATTGACTATTAGATCTGTTTGTGTGTCCTAGTTAAGCTGACACATCTTGAAGATATTGAGGAAAAAAAAACAAAACGTGTGAATGAGTCATGTGGTTCAGCAGGTCCACACACCTTGTCTTTGTGTTGTAGTGCCTGGCAAATGATGTCTTCACAGATGGATGCTGATGGAGCCAAACAGTGCAGCCTGTAAAACAGTTCAACACAGGAAATGTGCTGCTCTCTCCGCTCTGTCTCTAACTGACTCCACAGTACCTGGGACACCCTCTGGATTACAAGAAAAAAACAAAACCAACATATTGAATACTGTATTTATTCTCTAGTTTTCACTTACACTAACTTTTTTTCCTTTGATAATCTAACCTGATAGAAATCGGTGCCCTCCTCTATGGCACGAAGCACGGCAGGATAGATGGGTGGCACAGTGACCATCTGCAGCCGCCCACTCAGAGGGTTGGACTCGGAGTTCTGGTAGCGTCTGTGCTTGTCCTGAATGACCAGTGCTAAGGATTGGGAATGGTTGATGAGCTCCAACAGGGAAGCCACTGCAGTGTGCTGGATGTTGTAGTCCCTGGACAGGCAGCACAGTGTCATCAAGGACCTCAGCCACACAGGCAGGCTGTCCACGTCACTACCTGTGGCAAGCAAAAAAACTTTTAATCACTCGTTTGCAGGTTACAGCATGTAACTGACAGTCGCATTAACTCCATCCGTGTGCTGACCTGTGTGGCCAAACATTTCTGTGTGGAGAGCCAGAGTCTCCTCTTCAGTTAGGTAGACAGGAAAAGTGGTGCCCTCCAGCAGCAGGTGGCAGGTGGCGATGAAGGCCTGTCGACAGGCCTCAGAGATCTCCGCCCTTCCTCTGGGCATGAATCCAGCCGCCCAATCCACACACCCCAAGTGCCCGCGTTCCTTTTTCTTCTCAGTAGGGGCTGCTGAGCCCAGGGCCTCAGAAGAGGGGTGAGCTTTGAGTTTATTTGGAGTGAACAGCTCAGTCAGTTTGTCTTTAATTTCCCGCCCGCCCAACAGAATCTTTTGATTCCCAGCAGGAGCACTGTGGTCAGGCTGTGGCGCTTCATCAGCTCCCCTGACATCCTCCACCTGCACCAAAAGGTATCTGAAATGCAGCAGGAGTGAAAATATTGAGAAATCACAGTTAATAAACGTGCTCCATGGAGACCATTGCAACTGTCTCAGAAGTTTACCTTGTTGCTATAAAAGCCAGTATGTCCTGCAGACATTGTGTCATGGTATCCACACTGCCTCCCCTTCGCCACACTCCCTCGCCTTCTTTGCCAATTCTCTCAGCTCCTAGTCCCATCCCTGGTGGCAGATGTTGCTCTGACGGCGAGGCGCTGATGCCCAAGCCGCTATCTTCAGACCTGAGCGCTGGGTAAACACCATTAGCAGGCTCTGCCTCATCACCTCCATCTCGGTTCAGCTCTTCGTCTTCATGATGCCCATTAACCTGACCAACACTGCCATCTTTCTCTCCTTCATTCTCTATATCCTGGATAAAGTGTAATTGATACAATGAGCACAGTCAAATGATTCAAAAAATAACCCACATTGTCACAGATGGTAAAATGCCTAACCTGAGTCTTGGTGTTTTCCTCCTCTGGCGACTGTATCTCTATCTCCTCTGAGTGTGCCGCTGCATCAACGTCCATGTAAGCCACGGGCATCTGGATCTTACTCAAAACCTTGAAACATGCGCGCAGACCCTGTGTGACATCTTCTAGGCAAACAGAGTCCATGTGGCTGCGCAGAGTCCGCAGCATGTTGCCCAGCATTTCAGGAAGCAAATGGGATTGGATGTCAGCATGGAGCTCCTGTGGAAACATGGAGACATACAATTTGTGAGTAATGTGTGTATGAGTCACACAGGGGTATTATTTTGCATTTGTAACTGTAAGAACCAGAGAGATGCAAATTTGTTCACTAAGAAGATCTTATCATTTGTATATAATATAGTTTTCTGATTTTATGTCAATTTACAGTATTCTTTGAATTTTTTTCTGAGTGTTTTCATGTTTTCTGAAAACAGCCCTATGATACATGCCCCTGTGGAGTGTCTCAGGGAACAAACTACTGCTGTATAGGTGTGTGTGTGTGTTACCAGAGGAAGAACATCAAGCAGGAAAATGATGAGGTTGGACATCTCGGTGACAGAGGGAGTGGGATGACCGCGGTCCTGCTCAGGAGTTGGTGGATCATCTTTGTCACTGGGTTTAAAACAGTGATCCTCGTCAGTTCATGTTTGAGAGCAAATCTTCATTAATCTGATTCAGCCACATACGTAATTCTAACAAGCCATTGACTTTCTTTAACATAATTGCTGTATTATCTTATGTTTTGGGGTTGGCACTGTATACCTTATCACCAACACTCCATTGTGTGAAGCATGGGTTCTGAAATTCCCATGATTCTTAGTCACGGGCGTACCTGAGAGAAGCACAGAAGCGTCGAGTCATGTACTCCCACAGGTATTCGCTGTTCATGGAGCTCACGAGCATATTCATCGTCTTTATGATCTCTGATGCGTTCTTGTTTTCTTTTATCTTACTGTTAAAGAAAAACAAAAGAAACATCTGTTTCTGGATTCATCTTGTCGGATGAAATTTTGTCACGAGTTCAGTTAAATGTACATTCAACAGTGAACATACAGCGCATCTGTTTCGCCATGCATCACTCTCACCTAGCCAGCTGGTTGCCTGAGAGACCTGAGCTGGTGATGGTTTCCTCCCCCAGCATCTGTTGACAGTAGCTGTAGAAAGCTCGGACCACCTCCAACAACACGCTGCTCAAGACAGCTGGACCTGCAGAAACATTTTCATTATCACAGTATAGCAGGATGAGAGCAGGCCTGAGACAAAAAAAAAAAAAGTGGTGAATCCAGTAATTTTGCATTTTAAAATGAGTGTTTACTCCTTTGCTTAGTGCTGCGTACCTATCTCCGGTTTATCAAGCAGACTGATAATGATGCGAAACGGCCTGAGGTAAACAGTCACAGTTTCAGGGTCGCTATCCACATCCTTCTGTTTGAGGATGTTAATCAGAGCCTGGAGTCACACACACAAACAGAAGAGAATGACAGAAACAGGTGACAAACAAACGTTAATACGCTGTTCAAACACACATAACCTCTTGTTTACTATGCTTAGACTTTTTGGAAAATGTGCTTGTTTGCTTTAATGTTGTTATTCAGATAGAGGGTATTTGTGGGACTGTTTCCAAGGCTTTGTTGGTTACCCCAAAACCACACAGTGACTGTAGGCTCAGCTACTGCTGTTAGCCCAGAAGGAGTGCTTCACATAAACTCCAAGGGAAACCGCAAGTTATTTCTGAACAGCGTTTTGTATTGATTACTACACGAGCTGTAGCACATTAATTGAGGGCTGTTAGCGGTGCTTGTACATTGGTTTTGGTAGATTAAGACAAAGTCAGGTAAGTTGTTTCCCTTTGTTTTCCCTGCAGTCCTTTTGCATATCTTTTGAATTCCTCTATGAACACAGAAATGCTACTGATCTTCTTGAGGACGTAGACCAGAGGCCCACTTCCCAAAATGTCCAACACTTCCTTTAACAACACTGACAAGTCATGCTTAATTAAGAAATGCACATATATGTAAGTATTTTTTTAAGCTTTAGTCTGTATCTGCATGCTGATAAATGTGTGACATACCATCACAAGGAAATCTCGAGAATAGGTGTTGAAGTAGAAGGTTGTATGCTCCTCTGTGGTGGCGGAGAGGGTGGGGTGTGGTGACACCATTTCTCCTTTTATGTCAGTACCTGAAAACACATTCACATGAAAACGAACACGAGTGAATAAAGAGAGCCAGTAAATGTTGCAGTGATGTGATGTACGTATTGCATTGCTGCAGTATATTCTAATAATCGGAACCTAGAAGCCAGGCGTAGAGGCGTCTGTTTAGGGACATGTCTCTTCGGAGTAGCGTGAGCGATGCTGCAGACACCACTGTGGTCATGTCTTCAGCACTCAAAGCTATGCTGGAATCGGCTTGGTCCTAAAGCAGCAACACAGTTAATGGAGGAAAGAAGAAGAATGGGAGAGTCATGATAGAGCGACTGGCATGCTTAATGGAAAACAGATATAAAACTATGCATATCATAAACAAGTCCTAAAAGCAACACACAATATTAGCAT